AAAAAAAAAAAAAAGTAGCACACCGTTTTCCTCCTTCACCTCGGATTGTTTTAGTTCTCTTTTGGTACTTACGCCATTCATTGGTCCAGTGAATTTAACTAGAACCCATTATTTAGCATGTTACACACATGCAAAGTTGAAAAATGGTAACTTTATAGATTGATTAGATATACAAAAATACCTCCTCTGTGATCTCTAAAATGAATGAAAATACAGAGAGTAAATTTTTGATATTGTAAATACCAAGTAAGTATTGCTTGTTATTGACTTTATCCCTTGTCTGTTCTCCAAAATTTCGCACAAAATACCCTGATTTTTGAACTACTCGGCACATCAAGGAAACCAACTGAGTTAAACGTGACTCACGTAATACTGAATGATAATTATTAAAGCAAGCCTAGATTCTTATTTAACGTACCTTCCTTTTTCAATTATGGATGTTTGTCTACATATCTATTTTCCCTTTTTTTACCCTTCAAAAAAGAAAACCTCCCCTTTGAGTTTGTCAAAAAGGTTTGAAGCTGGAGTAGTACAATGAGTAAAAAAGATCTGATAAATAATACGTTACACCAAAGATCATAAAGAAATTTGAGAACGACGACTTTGTTGTTGTATCAGATTTTGATATAAATTAACCAAAAAAATTTCATGATACACAGACTCTCTCTCTCTTTTTATTTGTATATTTTTAAAAGCAAATGGGAGCAGATTACCCTGAATCATCCATTTCAAAAAATGCTGATGTAGAAAATTATGGCACAGTCAATGAACATCAGATCCAAAAACATCTAGAAGGCAAGCCTTATGGTGTTCAAAAAGTGTATCTCATGAAGACACTTGGTAACAAATGGGATAGAATGCTGACCATTTTTGGGTAAGATCTTGTGTGTGTTATCAATCTTTCTGACATCTCTTTCAGTATCGTTGCTATTGCCTGGGCAAAAAATTGGGAAGGCAATGTGATCGCTACTGCCTCGTCCTATATTACCAGTGCTTTCAACTCAATGAATTTGGCAGCTCTTCTTAACGTTGTTCTGTACGTTCTTGAAACAGTCCTGCTGCCATTCTATGCAAAGTTTGCTGATATGGTCGGCAGAACTGAAGCCTTTGTTATCTCTATTTTCTTTTATATTTTATCTGGTGTAGTTCAAGCCGTAGCACCCAACATGGACACTTTAGTTGTAAGCCTTTTTTTTTTTATTTATATATCAAAAAAGGTCACTCATATTTTTTTCTTAGGGCGGTCAAGTTATTTATGCCTTGGGCATCACCGGTGTGTCCATTCTTGGCCACGTTCTGATTGCAGGTAATAGTTAATAATTGCATCAAAATGCAAAACTGAGCATAATGTGTATATAGATATCACCACTGCTGTCAACCGTGGTCTATTCCAAGCGTTTTACGATTTACCTGCCATTGTCAACATCTTTGTTGCTCCTATTGTCGGAAAAGCCCTTGTGGAAGCAGGCGCTTGGAGATGGTCTTATTCTATGATCTGTTTCTGTATTACTGCCACTTCTGTGCCTTTGTTGATCGGTCTTTTCCGTCTTGAAAAAACCGTCAAAAAGTCCCACCTTTTACCACCAAGACGTGATGAACACTCAGGCAAGACTTTTATGGAAAAGGCGCGCTGGTACTGCACTGAGCTCGATGCTATTGGAAGTTTGCTCTTTGTGGGTGCCCTTTGTATGATCTTGCTTCCTCTTGTACTTGCTTCAACTTGGGGTGGCTGGAATACTCCTCGTACCATCGGCTGTCTTGTAGCTGGCGTTATCACATTTATCATCTTTTGTGTCTATGAAAAGTTCTTTGCCGTAAAGTCATTTATTCCCATGGGCAACTGGAACACGTTGACCCCTATCGCTGGTGTACTCTGTTGTGCTATGGTCACCATCTTTCATACTTCCAACTGGACCTATCATAGCATCTATCTTCAAGTCACTCGTAGATTGGACGTGGACATTGCCACTTATATTGATATGAGCTATCACGCCGTTTTCCTCATCTCTCAAGTGCTTTCAGGTTACATGATGAAGCACTTCAAGGTCTATAGACCTATTGTCTTTGCTGGCATCGGCTTAAAAATGATTGGTATCGGCCTTATGATCCCTGCTCGTTTTCCCACTTCTCCTACTGCATTTGTCGTCATCACCCAAGTCATCGCTGGCTTCGGTGCAGGTTGGGTCTATGTTCCCATCTTGGTTGCTGTCCAAAGTTCTGTCCCCGTCGCAGGTAAATACACTTCACTTCTATTTTTTTTTTTCTTTTACTGAACTGTACATACAGATATTGCTATTGTTACTGCTATGTTCCAGATTGGTGGTACCATTGCTACCAGTGTAGGCTCTGCTATTGCCGGTGCTGTCTGGAATGGTATGCTCCCCACTGAACTTGCCAAGAACGTACCTGGTGAATACGACCTTGCTCGTCTCCTTGGTGATATCACATACATCAATGCACTTCCAGAAGATCAACATGCGGGTACCGTTCTTTCTTATGGTAATGTTCAAAGAATCTTATCTATCGTTTCCCTTGGTCTTTCTGTTTTGTCTTTTGTCTTTTTTCTCGGCATGCGAGGCTTTAACCTTACAGAAGGAGAGGAGGAACAGGAAAATGATGTACATAATGAAACAACTGAAACTGATGCTCAAAAGTCATAATTTTTTTTGCTCAAGGCCATTTCTTTATTATAAAAAAGTTACATCTTTATAATTAATCATTTACTAATTTTTTAATAAAACACTACTATAAGCTTTTATGTTTCTTTATTCTATCAAGATATATTACAAAAAGAAGGAACTATGCCAACACTTCTAGTTGAGCTGGTCTTGCTTTAAGCGAAGTCGTATTTCTTACTACGACAAGCATTTTCACAGATCGACTTTGTCTGAGCACAAATAAAGATTAGTATCATAATAAGAACAAAAACAACAAAGCACTTACTCTGAATCAATTAATGTCAGTCTCCTTAAGCCACTCACTGTGCATGCACCAATGCCGAAACCATAACCGAGACTGAACGAGAAATTGCCACGGGTGATATATCCAATATGCTGCGACTTAAGAGGGATATAATTGGATATCTAAAAAGCGATCTGCTTAGAAACAAGCTCTTTTGCATAAATATACTTGCATACCTTTTCATCATTCATTTCACCTTCCAACATTTCATTCAACTTTCTCTTGGTGCGTAATGAAGCTGATCCAGTTCGAATATGACGAGTAAAATGCTCATACATATCCTTGTCTTCCACAAGATAAACCATAGCATTGGGTGCAGGCTTACCACGGTCAATGTACTTCAATCGGATCTTGAGTAACATTTCATCTGGCATGAGCTCAGGTATCGACAAATCCAGCTTACGATTCGCAACTAACTTTCGCAAGATTCCATTCAGTTGATCATTATTGGACAAAGTGGCTGTAACAAGGGGAGCACCTTGCAATAAAGAATAAACAGGACGAGGGGTCAGAGGTCCATCCTGATCTATCGCCATATAATCACGACACGATAGGCTTTCAAACGCGCATTCAAACGGATAATCAACGCCACGCTTGACAAAGCTCACACGCTTGGCTGGAGGCTTCTTACTCCACTTGTCCTCCGCTTCCTGCTTGGCTATTTGTCTCTGAACTTCAAACGCGCGTGTTCCAGGGAAGTCATATGGGAAGTAAGGAATCCCCGACTCAAAATGCATCGCATGCATATCCTCAAACCCAGCAACACGGGCACCTGCAAACACCAACGATTTCCAAAACGCCATACCCCAGCCACGAGGTAAGATAAGCGTCCAGCCTTCGGTAAGCTCGGACGATGTCAGGGGTTGATTGGTAATGACGCCTGTCTTTTGACAGACAGGGGTGCCTCGCTGGAAGAGGAGCAATGGAATCTGGCTGTCTTCGGGCGTTGGTTCAAGCTTTGTGCCTGGTACAAGGTTCTTTTGTCGGCGCAGATTGAGCCCATATTCTGCAACCTTTTTTTCCGTTAGTGCTTTTCGTAGCTCGGCGTTCCAAATGTCAGAATCAGCGACATGTTCAGGCCAATGTGCGATGACTGACTGTATCCTTTTTCGATCTCGATCTGACATTTCGTTTGTGCGAGGAGGCACCTTTTGAGGAAACCTATATATGTATCTATATTAGCAGTTGGAAGTCATAAAAGTCGAGATATTCACTTTAAACGAGGATCGTTCACAAGAAGGCCTATGACGCATCCAGGCGATAAAGAAGAAGAAGAGCGAAGTGAATGAAGGTCTTTCCATAGTTCGTTTCCTTTACATCCTTCTTTTGTTACTGGATCCAAAATGGCTTGAAGTAAAGCTGTTGAACGCGGTCCCACGAGCTCAAATCTCAAGATTTCTTGCCTTAGATCAATTAATTGTACAGCCAAGCTCTGTTCACTAATCGACTTTTCAATAAAGTGAATTGCTTCTTGATAGGCTGAGGGATGAATCCATATCCAGAGTGCATCTCTTGACGGCTTCCATAAGAATGTTATCGGACAGATCAGTTTGGAAGGGTAACCCAAGTGTTCGTAGAGATTTGAGTGTCCAATACGAGTACCTTTAATATACCTAATACATATTAGCCAACCAAGTAACATCAAGTATAGTTATGACGCTACCTTTCGCTTGCTACTGAAGGTAAAGCCAGATCTGTAATTGAGTTCATTGCTTCACAGATTTCATTAAACTCGCCTCTTAACTCAGCACATGCCATGTACGACGCATCGTGGGCAATGCATAATCTTGTGAAAGATTTGTATATGGTTCTAGCTGATTTCGTGTTTGGCTTTGATGCAATTCTATAACCCCACATACTGACCATCTTCATTCTTTTTGTATGCCACATATGCGTCTCCAACCACTTCTTTGACACTGCATTAAAAAAATATGAGTGTAAGAACGATGTAAATGAATATCTTACTTTGTCGTCTAAGATATTCCTTAACGGTCTTCATCCGTCTCTTGATCTTTCTCACTCGTTTACGCTTTAATGGTGCGTTTGGAGAAGATTGGTATGCCTAAACATGCTTATTATAGAATAATCCTCTCTTTTATGATGCTCGCTGTATTACCTCTTTCGCTGCCTTTGCTCGTAAACGTGCTGGAAGTCTGTTTAAGTTATGACTTGCTGCTCTACGACGAAGGCCACGAGGAAGAGATTGAAAGGCAAGTTCGTTTAAGGCATAACTACTGGTGTGTTAATATTTCTCTCTATTTCTATAGATCACTTGTCACCTTGCTTTCTTGATTGCATTTTGCATAGAGTTTATTTCTGCAATTCGCGCCATTGCAAATTTGCTAGCGTCAATAGGACCTGAAATAAGAGGAGCATCCTCAGCTAGAAAATGTCAATAGATTGCATAAACATCTTCTTGTTAAACTCACTCAAGGTATTGTCTGTCTTGTAATGTGTCCTGATCTCCCGAGCCTGTCTGTTCTTTTCTCTACGTTTCTGTTTTCCACTTAATGGCTCATTTCGTGTCTCGTTGAGGTTTTTGCTGGAAGACATGATGATCGATTTACTTGTGTCAAAACTTTTTTTTTCTTTAAAAAAAATGCAGACGGAGTGTCAAGTTTTGTCAGTCCCAGTGAAAGTTAAAGAGAGTTATGTTGTTTTTCTCTCTCTCTGTATATATGCGTGTTTAGGAAATGGTTAAGATACCATAACTTAGTTGATACATTTCATAATAAAATGATGCAGCTTTTTCATCGTTATTATAGTAACAAGTTAAAAAATAAAAGTGTTTACAAACCATTGGAAGACGTGTCAATTTCTTTTACTATTTGTGTTACAGTCGCTCCACTGCCACTTGGACATTTCCAAACTTTCTCATAGACAAGTTAACGACACCAAAAGTGGAAATTGCCCCAATAACAGTCTAAAAATTGGTTTTAGTAGAAGGGGGCCTCAAAGATTACAGCCGAATCTTTTGCTGATCAGCCTCTGCTACAGCGTATGTCGATGTCAAAACCTGACTCAACAACATATACACAGTTCTTCTACTTGAAAAATGTCAACTACTTATTAATTAAAGTTGAGTTGCAGTGTGCAGATTTAACGAGATTTGATAAATGATTTTTATAAATAAAGTTCAGCAGGAGCAATGATATAAAGGGTATTAAGGGTGGGAAAGAGAATAGCAAAGGCCCAGAGTAGGTATTTCGGAATAGTCTTATCTTGACAGTAGCAGTTATGGATTCTTTGATAGCTCTGTAGATGTGGAGAGACAGCCAGTAAAAATAAGGTCAAGTTTGCAGTTTTTAAAGTGGGTAATTCACTAATATACTTAAATTCGTCTAAACCGTACTCTTGATGTTCTTTTCGTCTTCTTGTAGCAAGATTGTAACCACACAAATGATAGTATTCTTCCAAGCTTATTGTTCAGATACATTCGTGCCCCGTAGAGTTAACTACAGTAAAGATAGCTGCTATGCCAGGATCAACAGCCCAAATTATGCATCGTCAACTATATCAGCAAAATCTTTGGGTGTCTTTGGTTCTCTTGTAGGATTATCATGGATAACAACAATTTTCTTAAACATGAAAGATACAGCATAACCATCAGTAGTGATCACATTTCTACAATGACAACATTTATTTAGCCCAAAAGAAAAGGGATGTAAGCATATGCACACAAACATCTTGGAGCCTGAGGTCAAACTTTCAAGTGTCTTGAAGCTTATTTTTGAAAAATCAAAATCAAAGTATGGTGCATGCTACCTATAATCTGTTCAAAATCTCTGAAAATCTTCGAAAGTTGATAGCTGATCTTAAGGTCAACATTTTAAAAGCCAACAACTATATTTCATAGAGAAAGTACTAATAAATAAAATGTATTGCTCAGTTTTTTAACAACGGTGTACTAAGTTGAGCTATTATGGTTTCTATTTAACGTATCAGACTTCAATTGCGACAACCATATGCGTCATATCATTGGATACAATGCATTATTATTACACAAATTTATCTCTTTTCTTCGTTATTAACAGTTGAGTTAATATGACACTTTTCAAGAAAAATATTATTAGAAGGCGTTTGTTGAGACATGTGTTTATTAACGATTGAGTTGTTAAAAATATTGGTGATATTGATAATTAATAAACCAAGTGAAGATGTCCTCTGTAAGTAGTAAAAGCAAACATCAATAAACGTACAGCTGATCCAATAAATCATGAATAGATAAGACTATTTTACAAAAAGTGCTGACAATAAATTGAAGCCTACGCTGAGCAAAATAACAGAGATATCATTGCTAAATTTTCGAATCTTGCAATTTCAACGGTGCTTATTATATGCTGTCAATAAAAAATATTCATACACTTCTCCTAAAAAATAATGCATTTCAAAAATTAAGATGAACAAGGTTTGAACAGGTTATATATGACATGCACCTTACCTCAAAGGAAAAGATATTGATATCCAAAAACATGTTGTCCATACACTATCAATAGTAATTCCATTCTATGTGTTTTTGCACAAGAAACTATTAACGGTAAAGGCTGTGGTGCTTGATGCTTTTTTATTTGTTACTCTTTTCAAAAAAGGAAATATGAAAAAAGAACGATAAAAAAAAACTCTATTGGAGACTCTTCAGTTGCATTCCAAAGAGGATCAAGTGCCTTTAGACAAAGAAGTAGAGCCTGTTAAGAGAAATTTAAACCAAAAGTGAAAAGTACTAGCATGAAAATTTCAAAATGGTTGCACACAAAAGGTAAGAAAGAAGCATGTGAATGCACACAAAAGAAAACAAAGAAGTATGTGAATGCTAACATCAAATTTTTTGATAAATAGATCCTTCCTCCTTTTTTAATCTTTTCTTTTTTTCTCTCATACGTTGATGACTGAACAAACGTGTTGTTCATGAATGTTCATCCATCATAGGCCAGTAACCTTTTCGAGTATCTACGCTAGCCCCGTGTAC